TAGAACGGGCTACTCAAATATTTTACGTTTTTGATACTAAATTAACATTTGAATTAAAATTTTATATTATTTTTATAATTTTAATGTTTCTTTATATAGTTTTTAATAAATTTTATCTTATTTTCGATAAGCGAAATTAAAAATTAATAATAAAACAATAAATTTTATTGACGCATAAAGCCGACATAGTTGATTTTATAATTTTTTGCGTAAAAAATAGAAAATTAAACATAAAAATAAACGCGTTTAATAAAAAGTATAGAAAGTAAATAAATTATTATAGGAAAATATGGAAAGAGCTATAATAACTTTACAAACTTTATATTCATATTTATGTAAATTTCCTTTGCAAATTTTTAATTGTGAAACTTTATCTTCGAATATTGAAGTTGTTTTAATAATTCTAGGCGTTATTTTTCAATGTATTGATATGTTCCAAAAAACAAAAGAAAACCAACAACAAAAAAAATCGTCGATAATTGTTCTAAAAATGAGCAAACAAAACCAAGCAAACATAATATTAATCAATAAAGTTAGCTGCTAACTCGCCAGATATTTTATAAAAATTTGAACATCAGGGCATTGTCGGAATAATTTTAGATGATTTTACGCTCTGTGTATTACCTAAAATGTTATTAAGACAATCAACAATTTCATAAATGTATATGAATTCATTTTCTATAATTGCATTTTGTTCGTATTCAAGTGAGATGAAAGCATGATTATTAGTTTCAGAGTAACTTTTGTATTAACATTTCATTTACAACGGATCACATATAATGATTAGCAAATACGAGACTTCCTATCTAAATTTCCAACTATACTTTACTCAACAATTATAATATTTGTTGACTAAATACGTTCAAAAAGGCTAAAATATTTAATTATTTCAACAATAATAGTTTTACTAAATTATAATTTATACATATTTAAATAGTTCTAACTGCTAATTTATTCATTGTAACATAGAAAGACACTTACGTTTATGACTATAATCTGCAGTTCGAATCGATAAAACAATTTCGTTAGGGCAGAAGTACAAAATATTACACGCGAAGTAATATTGTATATTTAACAAAACTAACCGATAATTTTATTTTTTGAACGGATTAAATTTCCTATAGCTTAATTGATGATTTTCGATCCACAAGTTGATAAAAACTCATGGGTTATATATCATAAAAATTGCCATGTACGTGATTACAAAGAAACACACTCAAGTTTAATTAGAGATTTTTGTGATATACTTGATGAATCACATCTGTGTATATTATCTGCAAGACCCTATTAATATGAATATTGATCGAACCGGCACCCACATTTCTCTAATTAAAAATTTATAAAATGTTTAATGCTGATTTTTATCGCTTCTCGTTCACATTAATTTTTATTTTATTTTTTTCTTCTTCTTTAGGATTTAACTATTATTATATATTTTTTTTTTCTTTTGACTTTTAGGAACTCCAGAAAATCGTCCAAGCAGAAATTCAGCAGATAGATTTAACTTTCCTAAAAACATTACAGGACAGTGGAATTCAAGTTTTTCTAATCGAACCACGTCTTCTATTATATTTTTTGAATGAAGATGATTTAAAAATTTTAGAAAAAAGAGAAGTTAGAACGAAGCATTTTTATGAACGCTTTAACATAACTAGTTATGGAATTTTTGAAAATAGTTCTAATAGTATAAATGTAAGTTAACAATTTAATAAATTAAAATTATTTTGAGTTTATATTTTACAAAGTTCATATTTATTTTAGTGTAATTTTCCAATGCTTTTATTTATTGTGACCGTAAGCTAATCTATTAATTTGGCTTATGTCAATTTAACTAATCTATGTGAGTACTAATTACTAGCTACTCGGCATTATTAAAGTTTACAAGTTCTTAATGATATTTTCTATTCTAATAGTTATATTTAATAGAGAAACTTAATTAATTACGATGACAAACTCATTATATTTTTTGAATTTCAAAATCCAAAAAATTGAATGTGTATTTCAATGGCATATTTTTGCATTAAAGACAGAGTTCGTTTTTAAAACAACAAACTGAAATTTTTGAATAGTTTCGCGAGTTATAAAATATAATTTGTAGAGAAGAAAGGAATTTCTCTGCTAATTTCGAAAAATAATTGCAAATAAGATATGATAATAGAGGTAATTGTAGATAAAAGTTAACGCTTTGCAAACATTTTAAGATAAATTTTGATTGTTTAAGAACAAAGCTTCATTGTTATTAAAGATTGATACAGAAATTTATTTTAATGTAGTGTTTATTATTATTATTTGATGAGCAGAGATGTTGGCTTAATATACATTTTCAACATTTTTAAATATTTCTATGTAAAGTCGATTCTGACTTTTTTTTAAAAAGTATTAATGTATTGTTTTGTTGGTATTGATAGTTGTTTTAACGTGACATTCACAAAGTTATATATTTTCTTATTATATACATTTTTTATAATTATATTTGTGATTAATGAAAATGTAAGATTAGAAAATCTCTCTGCACGTTATAATTTTTTACATGTATTATTTATGTTTTATAGTTGTTTTAACTCTCTTTTCTTAACTGCAGTAAATATTGTACGAACGATTCCGAATCACGTACATGACAATGTTATTATTCTAAAAAATGAAATATGTCGTCACATTTAAATTTTTTTTTCTGATTTTTGTAAGTTAAACATTTATAAATTTGTATAGTTATGCTGTTACACTGATCTGTTGTTTGTTTGTAAGTACTTAGATTAATTTTATTCATTTGATAAATCATTTCAAAAGAATAGTTTTAAATCAAATGATCCGGTTGAAGTGTCAAACTAAATAATCAAGAAGCAATAATCAATCTGCATTAAAGAAACTGGCATTCTAATCGTTGTTAAGTCAATAAACTTCTCCAACTTGATGATTTTGTCTATAAATATTAGCAAATTTCCTATAAATATTTATAAAATTTATTATTTATTTATACAACGAACAAACTCTATTTTCTAAAAAATTATCATATTTCTATTAACTTTTTTTTTTATTAGTAATAATACATCATTTGTTATTTAATTTGGAATTATATCCGTTGTAATGATTATACAGATTAACAAGAATAGAAAATCACTAATAGCTAATACACTTCTTATGTGAGTCATAGGTATTCTGGTAATACATCTGCACTTCTTATAAAGATCTCTTCTATTCTACTTGTATACATAAAGCATGCCAACAGACTTCTACTAAACTGACAGTGAAAAACCCAATGTTAGTTATATTGACGTACGCCAAAATTGAACGCATCAATGATGCGACAAAACTGATTCATATGCCATAACTAACACGCCAAATTGGCTTTATTTTAAATTTATTAACGTCAAATTGACAGAATTCTATTATTCATTTACTGCTTTAAGAGCTTATTCTTATAATTTATAAAATATAATTTTCAATCTAAAATTTTATTGTTTTATTTTCGTTCATAACAATTAAAAATGACATATTTTGTTTTAGGATAATGTGGTCTCCTTATTTGAGCATTTGGGATATCGCTATTATAAAGAGAAATCTCTAGATTTTAGAGAAATACATTGGGATGAAAATAGAAGCCAAAGTCTTTCAATCACTTCTCATCATTTTTTCATCAAAAATTATAGAATTATACATTTGGTTGTTTTCTTCAATCGAAATACATATTTTTGGAATCCTAAATTAGAGAATGTGCCCGAAGAAGTTCAAAATATTCTTCTACCTTCTGAACTTAGTTATGGAACTCATGCATCTGCATTCGAAAGGTAAATTTATGATAATGTTAAATATATAATTTTAATTATAAATATATTTTACATGAATTTGAAAAGTACATTGTTACTGGTTGTACCGGGCATATTTATTTGATTTTGTATACACAAAAATATAACATTACATTACTAATACAAAATCTGCACTAATATACTGATTAATGTACTGTTGTTACTGTTGTATAAATTTAATTTAAGGCTGTTTATTATAATTTATAATAATAAATTTATAAAATTAATTAATTAACGTTAATGGCCATCATTAGTTGAAATTTCATTAAATGTTTAACAACTTTTTCCAGCGATTATTAAAAAAAATAAGTAAAAAATTCTGCTTAAAAGTAAGCAAAAACAAAGTGTAAACTAAAACAGAAAAATCTCAATTAAATTTTTAAAATTGTTTTTATTTTATTCAATTACGTCCTACAATTCTTATAGCTAATTAAGTTTTCTTCTTCGTTAAATTGATAACAGCACTCATTTGCATTTAAAAATTTCACTAGAGTATTTTTTTTATATTTAATAATTATTGTGACGATAGTTTAAATCTCTTGATATACTTACAATATGTTTATTTCTTAGCTATGTCTTTCAGGACTTTTATTTTCTTCTTGAAGGTAATCGGGTAGATCGTTTTTATTGAAGTACATACAAGTAACTGCCAAATTTACCCTTATTTTACTTCTTTTATGGTCTCATAAACAAATCAAATGTGACCAAAATGCTAAATCAAATCTTTAATTAGAATTAGTTATGTTTTGGGTATTTCGATTAAGCTAAAAGAAAAATAAATAATTTTCACATTCTTTTAAAGATGATGATTTATATATGCTTAATAAAGCATTTAAGATGTATACACACATAAATCATATAGAAGTGGATCATTACGAGAGAGTTTCGGACTTTAAAAAATTTCTGTTACGATTTTAATATCTAATATATTTCGAGTTATTCAACACTAAATTAGATTTTTATTGTAAGTAAACCAATGTTTCCAGTTTTATCATTAAATTTAATAATTAAAAAAGTTCCAAGAATTAAATTTTATAAATTTTGATGAAGGAATTAATCGATTAACCTAATCCGATTAACTTTTAACTTTTATTGAATTTGTTTGATTAGATTCAAATTGATTAATTACGTTAGCCTATATAGGAGTTCAATAAATTTTTTTTAAATTTCCAAATAGCACTTTGAACTAATAAAACGAAGGTTCATTCTCCCGAAGAAGGAAAATTCCAAGATTCGTTAGCAGACGGTCTTTAAATTTCTTAATTAGTTCATTAACATAGAAATTCTTTACACGATTTTTGGTTTGAAGAAGGTAAACATAAAAAGGAAGTTTGTTTGAATTTCAATCTTTTTATTTTATGATTCTTCTGACTTGGAATCGAACAAAAAATTTTGTTTTGAAATAAAAAAAATTTATGTATGTTTTAGTGTTGACGTAAAGTTTTAAAGGTTTTCGATAATTTATTTAATTTTTTAGTGATTGTAAACTGTGGATAGTGAATTTATACCTTTAAAACAAACACTTAAAGTAATTGTACTGTACTATACTGTACAGTACGTATTAATAATAGATAACTTACATTTATAAACATAGCCTATTGAAATATTATAAATGATAAATAAATCAATTTTTCTACTTTAAAAAAATACATTAGCGAGATTCTAAAATGAACTATTGATGGCCACCCATCACATATAAAAATACATAACGTTACGTTTTGAAATTACGTTAAAGTAATTAAATTTAATAATCGACTTATACGTTTCGAAATTAATTTCAATTTTCTAAAATTTAGTTTACAGTATATGAAAGAACTAAATGCCATTATGTACAGTAGACACATTAGTTTTGACGTCAAAGAGGTTATTTTTATAAATTTTATTATTTTGATGGAAAACTTTGTCGGATTTTGATTTATAAATAAGAATATACAAAACTATGCTTGAACTCACCGATTTTTTTGCTTAAACAAATAGATTGTAGTGATTTTTAAATTAGAAACCAAATGTAAGTAGAATTATTTAATAATTTTTATGTATATTTTAGCATATCAAATTTAATTTTGATATTATGCTAAAATATAATAGTTGATAATCATAATTGATTTAATTTTGAAGCAATAACCAATTTACTATTTCTTTTGAAATATAATTAGAAATAGACTTATTGAACGAGAGACTATTATAATGCAAAAAACGATAGGTTTTATACGATAAATTTCTGAAAGAAAATAATATCGCAAATTGAAATACAGTAGAGCGTCGTTTATCCGAATCAATTGGGGACTGGGGTGGTTCGGATAACTTATTTTTCGGATAACCAATTACTGTATGTACGAAAAAATATATTAATTTATCCCGTTTTGAAATTTTTCTCCGTTGCGTGTCGCTTCGCGTTGAATTTTCGTCGATGTTAAGCCTAACGAAGACTATTGTATCGTTAAAAATTATTTTTTTATTTTGTACAAACAAAATAAATATATTGAAAAATATAAAAACAATAAAAAATTATACTTCAGATGTTAATTTAGTATCAAAAACGTAAAATATTTGAGTAGCCCGAGAAATAGCCGAAGATTGCAGCACCACAGCACTAGCGAAAATTTAAATTTGCCAACTGGAATGCTTTCGGATAAACGACGCTCTACTGTATTTTTATTTCTCATGAATGCTTTTTGATAATTTTCCACTTGCAACGGTCATGCCACTTTAACATTTCCTCCCTCCTTTTTAAATATTTGTTTTAAAAAAATATTTTAAATATGTGAAATTATTTGAAAACAGATTATATTATTATGTACTATATTACAAACTACTTTACTTTTCATATAAATATTTATCACCGATCTTTTTTCTTTACTCACATTGACACAATAAGACGAGAACAAATTGCCATATGAGGTAACCAAATTTATTACAATGAAAGTGTTTGTCAATTCGATTATTTTTCTCTAAGTTTAAGTTATAATTACTAACAGGTATGTGCCGAATTCGACGGTGTTATTTAATTAAAATACAATCAATCAGCTTACGCGTTTATTTTACTGATACATTATTTTAACTTTTTAATAATAAAAGTGTTTGGTTAAAAAATAAGAGGGATTCTTAATTTTATTTTATTATTCAAATAGATAGCGTAAGTGCTTACATTTATTAATGTTAAAAAAATAATGCAAAAAGTCTTAATGAGTAATTAGCAAAAAAGCAGGGATTCGGATAATAATAATAATTTGAAGCAGAGGGTCCGACATGTTTATCCCCGTAGATATTAACATTGTATGTTTTCCATTCCGCTTCGCCTAAACCATTATACCTTTCTCAAATCTCTCTTGAACGACATCATCTACAGGACAAGAGCTGTAATTTGATACCTGAACCTCAGTCATTCTCTCCGACGAAGCTGGATAGTGTTTGAAACTTACTAAATTAATGCAAGTATTAATTTAGTAAGTCTCAAATATAGATTATAACCTTGATCTTTTAATATTAATTTAAAATTTGTTAAAGTTCATATTTCTTATTTAATTGAAATTTAAATCAAACTGTATTTAAAATAAAAGCTTTAAAATACAGTTTTTCGGTAATTATATATTAGAATATTATAGTTATTAAGTTTATTCTTTCTAATTTGTTGGATGAATAATATGAAATTACACCGGCATCATAATTCTTTCGTCCAAATCCTATTCAATAGCTAATTTGTAAAAAATATTTCTAATAAATAATATAACATCTGAAATAAAACTCAATTAGAAAAAACATGGAAGTATGCACTTTAGTGTATATATATATGTTACAGTCAAAACCCGTTTTTAGTTAGAACCCGTTTTGTCTAGTTGAAACTAGTTTTAACTCAAATTCATTTTTGACTAGCAGTAAATTCTCGTTTTAACTAGACAAAACGGGTTTTAACAAAGACATCCAGTATAAACTAGTGTTAACTAGTTAAAACGCGTTCTAACTAAAAACGGGGTTTGACTGTAACATATATACATTATTCATGTTCAGAAAATTCTGCGCACCACAAAATGTATCTTCTTTTTCTTCTCTCCTAAAGCACGCTAGATGTATTCGAGCGTTGAACTTTTTATCTTGTTTTTCGCCGTTATAGTTGTATAGATCAGACTTAAATATTCTCTGGTACATACTATAAACATTTGCATAACGATTAAGGCGAAGAACATAAAAGGTTCAACGTTGATTTTGTTCTAGTAGCGTCTAAAGCGAAGAAAAAGAAAATATCTTTTGTGTCTTGTAAGGACTTTGCAAATACTTCATTTTAAAAATTCTATATTTTTGAAATATTTAGTGTTCCTCTTTCGGAAAATTATGAATTGTCTTTTCAAATTTTGACGATGTTCGTTTTTAGGACTGAAAAACTTGAATTGTTTTCACCTATCAGAAATGAGTGTTGTTTCCGATATGCTTCAACTTAATTCTATTGAAGTACTATATTGAATATAAGGCCTACTATATTGAATATTTTTCTATATTTTCATTATTGTGACATCTCTGTATTTTTGACAATGTAATGCAATTATCATATCAAAATATTAATGTTATGATCTATCTAATATTTATTAATATTACATTCAATTACAAGATTAATCAAACCANCTGCTAGTCAAAAATGAATTTGAGTTAAAACTAGTTTTAACTAGACAAAACGGGTTTTAACAAAGGCATTCAGTATAAACTAGTTTCAACTAGTTAAAACGCGTTCTAACTAAAAACGGGGTTTGACTGTAACATATATACATTATTCATGTTCAGAAAATTCTGCGCACCACAAAATGTATCTTCTTTTTCTTCTCTCCTAAAGCACGCTAGATGTATTCGAGCGTTGAACTTTTTATCTTGTTTTTCGCCGTTATAGTTGTATAGATCAGACTTAAATATTCTCTGGTACATACTATAAACATTTGCATAACGATTAAGGCGAAGAACATAAAAGGTTCAACGTTGATTTTGTTCTAGTAGCG